AAGTCATCAAGTATAAAATTGTCATCTACGTTGAAAATGTTGATTTCCGCTAGAGACTTGATAAATGTATGCTTGGCCATAAAAATGTTTAATATAAAAACGGGCCTGCAAGACTTTTTAATTTAAAGGTAACGAAATAATTACCACAAGCATTTGCGTCACACATGCGACATTTTGTAATTCCGTCGAGTCCAATTACAAAAGTAGGCTTTCGGCATTCTTTTGTAATATTTAGATCTGGACAGCTTGCTAGTGGACAGCCACTCGGATCTGAAATTACGGAAAGATATAAATTAGAGTTTGTTTCCTTGTTTTCAAGAGTAAATAAGTGTTAATTCAAGTATGAAACAAACGCAACTAATCAGACTGTAATAAAACGATAGGGATTAACGGAAATGCAAATGAAGAAGTGACGTTGTACTTAAGTGTCTACAACTTGAGTTATTTATAAAATGTAAGTTTGATTCTTACTTCGTTCAGTTTTACTTCATATAACACCAAAACTGATAAGTTCGATGACGCAGACTCGGAGGCAGTTCATTTTAACCTAATACACAATTATCAATCAGAAATATCTTCAAGTGCTGTCAAAACACATTCACATAGATTGTGCTACCGTGTCATCACTTGTACATGTACATCAAAAGGAATGAATTGTCATTTTAAACTTTCTCTATGGAGTTAGTATTGGTATATATGCTGATGATTTATTGTTATATTTCACTGATATCAAGATAATTTATTTCATTACGTTTTGTGTTTTAATTTATTTTTATTTAAGCCAATTGAAGAGGCATGATATATTTTGCACCTGTGATTGACTGAAAACAACATGACTGTTTATATTTCTATTTTGTAACCTGATGCAATGACTGAAATCAACATGACTGTTTATATTTCTATTTTGTAACCTGATGCAAATATTAATGGAATTTCCTAGCTTTAACTTTCTAACATTCCATTCACAATTAAAGATATCTTAAAATGACTCCACTGAGGTCTTTTATATGACGCAACTTTTAATATCCCGAGATCTGTGCACCATTTAATGTAGGTCTGAAACCAATAAAACTGTGTACATATTTCTATATAATACCCTTGCCCCATTTTCCGGAATAATCATTTTATATTGTGCAAAATAGCGGTTGCAAAGAATCGCACTAACAGTCGATGTTCAATTTAATTATTTTTATCCTCAGATGATTTTTTCAATCCAAGTGCTTTACTTAATGTAAGAAATTCATTTTTTTTATTTTAGCCTTTTGGCTCGAGTGACCTGAGTGCAGTTCCTTTAATATAAAGGAAACACAGAAAAGTCTAAAGTCGTACACTTTCGAAAAGGCCGCACACAACGGACATAATATGAATTTAAAATTGGATTGAATGTGCTGGAAATTGTAGACAAATATAAGTATCTCGGTGTTATCGTGCATGAGAAACGCGACTATAGTTTTCATTGTGAAATACTTTCAAAAAGTGCCGGGCTATTATAAATAAAATTCATAATCTGAAACAAACTGGATTTAAAACTTACAAAAAAGTATACAATTCCTGTGTGATACCAATATCGGATTACTGTGCTATAAACACTACCAATCAGCGGAAAATATTCACCACAGGGCGATACGGTACTTTTTAGGTGTACATCGATTTACACCTATATTAGCGTTACTAGGTGAAATTGGATGGCTACCCAGCATTTACCGTAGATGGCTCGCAATGATCAGGTATTGGAATAGACTGGTAAAACTTGATGAGAATAGACTAACCAAGCGTGCATTCAATAGAGATTACAGCTAGCCAAATAACAGTAACTGGTGCAGTGAAATTAAAACCGTTATGTCTAGACTTCACCTAACGGAGTATTACAATAGGAAACTCGCCGTCTCAATGAACTTAGCCAAAGAAAACATGAACCAGTTTTATTCAACCTTTTGGTCTAGAGATTACGAACGAGTATCAAAGTTGAGAACATATAGAACATTTAAAACTGATTTACTTGTGAGGAATATGTTAAGTTGAACTTAAAAAGAAATGAACGGGCTTTATTTGCTCAATTCAGAACCGGAATACTTCCACTTAGGGTTGAAACCGGACGGTATGTGGGTGAATCCCCTGAACAAAGACTGTGTAAGTTGTGCAATAGCGGACTAGTTGAAGACGAGACTCACTTTCTTGTTGAATGTGCTCTTTATAGTAACACAAGATCTGTTATATTTGGAAACATTTTAAACTGTGATGAATTTATACGCAAACCAAACAAAGACAAACTTGTTTTCTTGGTTCAAACTCACCCTAGAAAATGTGCAAATTTTATTGTTAATGCTTATTATATCAGAAGTAGTATGTTATATACTAGTATGCGGTGATTTTCATCAGTAAATACCTTAGATTTTCATCCTTTATTTTGTCTGTGTAAAGTTGTACATATATATATATATGAACCTCATGTAACATTATCGATTATTACCCACATTTTTCTTGAAAAGGTCATTTGTATTAACTTTTATTTAATTTTATAATACGGATATATTGTAATTTGAGAATTTTTAAAGTTTAATACAGAACCATTATTCCTAATGTTTAAAGTAGTCATTTGTTATTTATGTTTAAACGTTAATTTTGCCTCTAAACAGCTGTTATATGTAATTATGTTACACAGACTCTTATTATTTCAATTGTCCATTTGTATATATTCACGTGCATTTTACACTGTTGTTAAGGTGACCTATAGGCCTATAAGGCCGGGTGTTCTTTATTTACATTGTATATATGTAATTTTCATGTACGAAAACACATGTCACTATAAGAAAAGATTATTATTATTACTATTATTATTATTATTATTATTATTATTATTATTATAAAAAATACAAAACAATGACTTAACAAAATATAATAACAATTTATCACACTACACGGATGTTCGGGTTGGCCTGCCTCTATACTTGCGGCGCAAAGGGGCTACCTTTTTTCGTTTACATTAAGAATAAAGGTTAAGGTTATGTTTTCTTTAAACTTATAATGAAAGTAGCATTAACATGTTGTCGACGGTTCAAAAACAACATTATTTTTCTTGCTTTAAAGGGATACTCAGGCAAAATAATGACAAAAATACAAAAATGATCTTCTGTACTCAAATCACCCTAAAATGACTTTTCCTAAAGTCCCAGCATGAACTTCTGTATAGATTCTATATATTTTGGTTTGAAGCTTAAATATATTTATATATGTTGAACGAAATTTGGTCGCCAACAGAATCACCGAGTAGTTTAAAAACAAGTCATGTGATTTGAACAAACCCTGGAAGTTACTATAACAGGTGTTGCAGATATTGTATGATTAAAACAAGTTTAAGTAATTGATTTGACATGTTCTTTAACGTTTCCAGAGTACACAGTGACAACTATTGTGAAATCATAGCGCTCTAACCTGACCCACGCGGGCCAAGTTAGGAAAACACCATTTTATTCTTTATATGGAGAAAAGTTTTGTTCTTTTGACTGTTTAGTGTATTCATTTTGATGACATTTACAGAAAAATAATTGAAAAATTAAAAACTAAGAAATTGAAATTTTGTCTGTATCTCCCTTTAAGAACAGGTGGTTTCTTCTTTCATAATTTATTTTGCATAACATTATTTTAAAATTTAAGAAAAAAATAAATATTACAAATAAAATAATAAGTATACAAAATTTCACTTTAAGAAAACTTCAGTTATTAATGCAAGCGCTAGTGCAACATTTTATTTTGATGGTTTTAATCTTTAAAATTAAAAAGCATATATTTTATATATATATTTATTTTCATTACATTTTTCATTTACATTTTTCAATTACCCCTTTCATTTACGAGATTTATATAAATCATATCAATTGTTAAAACTTAAACTGCTTGAACGAAACGTGATAAAACTTTAAATCTAGAAGTCTGCACTGCGTGTTGGTAAATCATTTTTGTATTTGATAACGAAATCCAACGACTGCTTCACACATCCTAAAGTTAAAGATCCTGTAACACATTTTTTTCATGGTTTTATTTCATAAATATGATGCTCAAATTAAGATTTGTCAATCTTGTAAGTTCAAATAAGCTGTATTTATAAAGATATTACCCAATTTAACATTTTGCGTAAATAAAGGGAGGTAATTAGAAATTTATTTTCTATAAATTCCAAGTCAAATTTTCCAATAAGAAATAAATGCATGTAACTTATTGATTAAATATAATGTGCACAAATATTTGCAGCACACATTTTACATAATCTTGGATGTTTGAAAATTGTTTTTTTTTTGCATAATTATATACATATATTATATTTTGCAAGTGTATGATACATACAGTAACAATATCAATCACAAAACATACAGGATCTTTAATGGTTATGCGGGGTTATACACTTACCACAAAAGCTAGCATCGCATGTTCGACACCTGGTTTTGCCATCTGATCCGATTGTAAATTGATTCTTCCTGCAGTCAGGTGGTATATATGGTTTATTTTGGCATTGTGCCTCTGGACAACCATCCATGCCATATAAATCTACAAAAATAAACAATAGCAATATCCTTGCAACCCTAACTTCTGGTCTCAATATTCACATCTATATCACTATTTACATTTCTTGTTTTAAAAGAAAATAGTTCAAACAAATGTCAAAATGTTATTTTGCTTGCATTTTGACTTGTACACTAAACGAAATAAATATATATATATTTTGTAAACATTAATTTTTGAATTATCTATAAGGTTCATAATTATATAACAAAAAAGCAAACGCAACAAAAAGATATATTTTCAGATCTCCACGAATTTTACAAATGACTGGAAATAAGTGATCCATAGGAAGCATCAAAACAGAAAAATTGCATGAAAATTGAAGACCGGTTTGATCTAGTATGTTCATGAGGAACAATGATGAAATGAACAATGTCGTTAAAATCTTCTTTAAGTTGTAAGAATTTAAAGAAAATACCTTGTCCAAAGCAAAGCGCAAAACTTAAAACGAACACTGGTAAAATCCACAACAAACTGGCCATTTTACGTTTTGATATACTTCTTTGTAGAATTTGTAGAAACTATGTATTTACTGAATTAATGTGATATTTTCAAGCAGATATAATTTTCACCTTTTATATTCAAAAATGACACGTTATTATTTACACAAAGTGTCAAAAATAAACAGATATGCATGGCTCTCCGAGACATTTTGTCAAGTTGTCGTGACAATATTTAGTGACATAAAGTTAAAAAAACATTTCTATTGCATGCCGCGTTTGTCGAACATCACTTATTCATAAAACCTTTTCCAATTTTGCTTCAGGGTAATATGAACGTAAACAGTCGACTTTATCGACCCTTTAAGTATTTAACATTAGTATTTCTTTTACCGGTTCTATTGGCCTGAACAGTAATGCAAGGTTTTATTTCTCTTATGAAAAAAATTATTCAAACATTCTCTTTCCTTGCTTTAAAGGGATTTTTCCTTTCCTAGAGTTTTAAAAGTGAACCTATTTTTTTTTAAATGGAAGTTTGCCTTGATTCGAGACATTTGCCATTTATCTAGTTACTGAAAACAAAAGACAGTGTCTTTATATTAACTTGTTGTGTCACTCTTGCTTCAAAACAAAATTAATCCTTACACACAAAATGCAATTAATATTCACATAAACATAATAAAATAAACAAAGAATAATTTAGGTTGATGAAATATTATTACAATAAAGTAAGTTTTGTAAGTTTTAGTTCCTTAAATTTTAAGTTTAGGCTAATACGTTGGTATATCAAGGATGCCCTTTTTTCAGTGATTGCCATGTTTCAGGGATTTTTTAGACCAAATACTGCCATTTAATAAAGCTGTTTATATGAATATAATACCTAAAGAAGAAGAAAGCTTTGAAGAAAATTATCAGAAAATATCTCGTGTGTAAAAGCATACCATTTTCCCTGAAAAGCCCTCTTTAATGCATTTTCCACAATTACTTTTGTACAAACGGAATATAACCTTGTCATTTTATGTTTTACTATACATGTTGAAGAATACCAATTAATAAATACTACATATTTGTCTAGAAAATATAAGATTTAAATACATCTTGTGTATTTCACACAATTTCCTTTTGAGTAGCAATCTTAACTAACCTGTTCTGTATGTTGTTTTACATTTTGCTTTACTTTAGTTTTCTCGATTTTTTTATATACAGACCATATCATCATGCCTTGCCAATTGCTAGCTAAATTTATGTATGAGATCACTGTTATCGAGTCCATTTAACATCTGTCAATGAAATAAATGGTGCTTTTGGATATACATTTTATTTAATTTTTTTTCTCTCCGACGTACTGAGAAAAATAACTTTTCTGATATCCTAAGTATATTATAGATCTCTTTCAAATTTTTTAGTCATTGTAGTTTATGCATTCTTAGGATCACAGACACTGGTACTTTAACGATATAAAATATTCCAAGCTGTTTGAATGCAGGTCTATTTAAACTAAAAGGTTAAAAAAACGAAATGTACATATTCATTAAATTATACTAGGCAATAATGATGATAAGTGATATGATACGATACGAACAGCACTTTATACCTTTACTTGCATGTTGCATACATCTTTCTTAAAACAAAGCAACTTTTCATTGAAATAAAAATATTTATATTTCACCAGGTAATTAAAAACATTTTGAACCTTTAGTCATCCAGCATTGTTTTAGGGACAAGACGATAACCGAGTCCCCGACTTTCCATAAGGACATGTATATGCTATATGCAAGTTAAATCTTTGTCCATTAGGACAGAAATCAAATCACATGATATTTGGCAAAACGGTATTGAATATTAGAATATGCATTTTCTTTATAATAATAATAATAATAATAATAATGATGATGATGATGATGATGATAATGATGATGATGGTAATAATAACAACAACAACAACAACAACAACAAAAAATAATAATAAAAAAGAGATATATGAATAATTGTTTATTCACTCATTTTGCCCAATTAGATGGCCACGATATAAAGTTAAATAAAATACATTTGTAAATTAGACAACAATTTCGGTGTTATACTGGGTACCTTGTCGGAGAGTGCGTTCTTTGAACATCATCATGCATTATTAATATTTATATTCTCATTTTATTTTACCACACAAGAATTTTATTTAGATATTGTCGTATTTATCTTAAAAAATGGTTTGTATTTTATATCAGCAGATAGTAGTTTCAGACTGTTTGAATGTCTCATTTTTATTTATTTAAAAAAGGATCTATCTTACACGTGTAGAAACGTAATAATAAATGGTCCCGATTTGAAACTTCAAAGAATCATTCTAGTTTTGTTTGTGTAAAAGTTATTCAAAGTCATCTTACGAAGAAATAAAAACAAATTGTTATTTATATTGCCGGCGTAAAACATGTTAATTTAAGAATTCATTGAAATCACAACAAATACCTTTGGTCCGAATAAAGTGAAGGTGTGTCGTCGTTCTAACAAAAGTAAAGACCTAAGAGATGTTTAAACTAGATAAAGAAGTGCACGGTAAGGTAATATAAATAGAAAGACGTTGCAAAGAAACATCTTGCCAAGACAGATGCAGAAAAGCACAAACGATAATAGTCATATGTATAAACAAAAGTTATACCTAATGAAATAGTTTTTATAAAATTTATAAACAGCAAAACTATGTTGTTTACCTAATATTATGGTTTATTCTGGATTGAGTTGTATTATAGAATGTCTCTGATATGTTAATACGCAACAAAAAATAATAATTAAAACAAAATAGAAAGTTGCTATTTAAAGTAGGGTATACTACATGCTCATCATTGAGAAAATATTTAATCAAAGAAATGTATTAAAATCTATGAAATTCTAACTGAATATCTCTTATTTATATACTATGTATGTGAAGCTGTGTTTCCTACTTCAGATCAAGTAAAGCTAGTCTTTCCTAAATCAAAAATTAGTTTTAAATGACAATATATGTTCTTATTGTGACCATGTATAGTTTGTAGAATTTTAAACATATTTAATTTGTGTGAAGTCAAAGTATGCTTATCTTATATTTACGAAAAGAATGTGTAGCAATTATCAATATATTCTAATATAAAATTTGAGCATAGAGGGGATTAGTATATCTTTAAGCATTAATGTATCTGAATGAGCCATGCAGGTATTTCGGAAATATTCTTTAATCTAAAGGCAGCACATATATAACTTTACACACTTTAACTCTTCATGCCTTTGAGCTTTGTTGTTTCTAACCCATTACACTCGGTGCACTTCTATTTAGGATTTGAAAACTGTACTGATATATAACAGTACAATTTTTCACTTTATTCATATAGGATAAAACTTAATTGATAAATGACAGTTGAGTTTTTTTGCACCTGAGTTTTTTTACGGAGGCTCAAAGGGGGCATGGGTAACACATTAAAAATACAATCGGTTAAACCGGGCGATGGTCCCCGGACATGTTTTGGACACAGAGAAACTACTTTTGTTGTTTCATAGAGTTATGTCCAGGACAAAGTTCACAGTGCAAAAAATGAACAAAGGGCAATAATTCCAAAATTAGGCAAGGCAGAGTTACATTTCTTTTGCAAAGCATATTTTCTAAATTAGAACTATCTACCTACATGGGTTCTTGTTGATACCTCTTGTAATTTCAGAGTTATGTCCCGTTCAAAGTGTAAAAATGAACAAAGGGCAATGACTCTAAAATTAGGCTTGAAAAAGAAACGGTTCTTTTACATTGTATATAAACCCAATGGGATCTATCTACCTACAAAGTTTCTTGTTGATATCTCTTTTAGTTTTAAAGTTATATCCCGGACAAAGTTCACAGTGTAAAAATTAACAAAGGGCAATTATTTTATAATTAGGCAAGGCAGAGTTACGTTTCTTTTTCACTGCACTTCTTCTCAAAGAGACCTATCTACATACAAAGTTTCTTGTTGATACCTCTTGTGGTTTCAGAGTTCATTGTTACATTCCTTCTTTTTTGGCAACAGCAAAAACAACTTTAAACTGCTGCGCTCACTCACATTAGATATAGCTAGCCGTGAGGTCTCTTAGACAGCATTAGCTGGTATTGGTTCATTTTATCAGGGGTTTCCATTTAAAACAAAAGTGAAAGGGCACAAGAGAGGGAAATGCACATGGATTATATTTTTACTGAATTCTGTTACAAAAAATAATCAAGTTGCGATAAACAGTTGTTATATATGAAACTCGTAAGCTACGGGGTATAACAGTGGCTGCGGCAACATCTCGGAATGTTTCTGAAAAAAAAATCATGACGGCCTAACGGCCTCAACATTTTTGTTATGGCAGAAACATCCCTCGATGTCGCTCCAGTCACTGTTATACCCCGTTACTAACTCGTTTCATATACTTTAACTATGACATATACTCGTAAAAGCCGTTCGTGCCTGAAATAATGCACGGAAGGGCACCTGAGGTCTTCCTCCGCCAGTAAAGCTGGAACGTCGCCAAATGACCTATATTGTGTCGGTGTGACGTAAAACCCAATCAAACAAACAAACAAGCGAGGTTTTACTAAAATTGCTGCGAAGGAATTGTCAGCTGTGCACTGTTTTCCTTTAGAATAACCGAATAAAATGCTGCCTAGACGAAGGTCTGTTTAGATCCGCGCAGTTGTTGAAATTAAAGAGGAAGCGGCACTAAAATTCCATTACGTCTGTACTAGTGATACTCGTTTTATACAGTGACAGAACGGGTACGCTTTAGTCAATGTCGTAACGTGTCAGGAATCCGGCACCATGTTTCTTATTAATATGTAAACAGTGTTGCTTGTAATTGTTTTACCGATTAAATGATAAAATAAGATCAATAAGTGAGAATTTCTCATTTAAATGTATATGTAATGTAAATTGCATATGATAAAGATTCGGTTTTTAATATATTGCATATTCCCTAGAAAAACAGTGAAAGATAACTAGAATTATTATAACTCCCAGAAACAAAGAGGTGTATAGGAATGAGCTTGTCAGTGGATTGGTTAGTCAGTTTGTCAGTTGGACTGTCCGCTTCATGGTTTCGAAACGATATTATCAAACTTCGTGTATCTCAAGTTTATGATGAGATCTCGTATGATATCGCTTTAGGACATTCTAGGGTCAAGGTTAAGGTTACATGAACTAATAATATAAAGAAATGGTTTCTGGGCAATAACTTGAGTCACAGATGAAATGTTGTGATTGATAAATTGTTATATTTGGCAAGCTTGTGTAAGACTTTTCTGCATATTTCTTTTGGGTCTCCTAGGGTAAAGGTCAACGCCGGTTAAGGTCACTGTTTCAGTAATTCTAAGACAAATTAAATCAAACGCATTTATTCTTAAATTTAAGTTATCTAAGAATGGCATACTGTACATCTATAACATAGTTTACTTCTGTATACAAAACTAAATATTAATATGACTGTCTTTATTCATGTCATCGAACAGTTGGGTACACTATTAATAATTTTGATTTTTTTTCTGACGTTGTCGGCAGTTTTTCTTGTCACATGCAGGACATAATGTTATGCCGTCGCTACCGATTGTAAATTGCTTCACAACGCAATGTGTCGGTATACGCGGTTTAGAAGGACATTTGATCTTCGGACATACTCTCTTCGGGTCTCCTGGAATGATATTAATATATAATATAGACATAGTACTATAACCATTTCATTGTTTATTATCACAAAAAAGGAAATAAAGGTTATCAAATTAATTTACTTCTAACTTTATATTATATTTGTTATACTTTATATTCTTAGTAAAAATTATTAATCAGTTATCTTTCAAATGCTTTTCAGATAAAGTCATCAAGTTTTAGAGTGTTAACTATGCAACTTTATCGCCCATTTGAATTTCACTCGGGATTTTCATAAAAGGTATGCTTTAGTCACTACCATCCATACAAAAGGTCCGATAAAAATCGGGCCTGCTGCATTTTCAAGTTTAAACATAGTGAAAAAACTACCACAAGCATTCACGTCACACATTCGACATTTTGTTATCCCGTCACCTCCAATCATAAAGGTAGGCTGTCGGCATTCCTTGAGAATATTTTGCTGCCCTGAACAGTTTTTTGTTGGACAACTATTCGGATCTGAAATTTTGAAAGCAAGAATAAATCCTTATCATTAAACAATGAAATGCAGTAAAATGTATGTAGTGAAACCATTCACTTGTCATAATTAAGTCACCTTGTAGCTTTGGGGCAGTAAAATTTGGGAAAATAACAATTCTGGGTTTTTTAATCAAAATAATGTATTTTTTTTCCGTTTTACATGCATTTTTTAAAAATTTTCTATATTTACAAGGGCGATTTTTCAAATGTATACTAACAAAACCAATATACAAATCCATTGTCAATGATAAAGGTCAACGTAAATGCAAGTAAAGATGTGTTGTAGTTAAGTGCCTGCCTCTAAATCAACGGATCTTAAGTCTGGGTCATTCTTGGATCATGATCATGTTTCTTATTAAAATGTTCCATAATGCGGACGCTAAAAGTTCAAATAAGCCTCTTACTGGCTACACAATCCAGACGACTTTGAGAGACATTTTGTAGGAAATAAAAGTACATTTAAAAACTTAGTGTGTTAGTATGAAATCCGGCATAAACATTATCAAAACTGAAAAGGAATAAATTAAAAAGTTGTGTTGCTATTTTAAGCTTCTGTCCAAAATAGTTTTGGTTTGAATGCTACAAATTTGATGTTGACTAGTAGTTTTTTAAGAAGCAAAAACTATTTAACGACCTGTTTTTCCAGTGCCAAGAAGAACCTGTTGAAAATTGCTCACTTTTTCTTTACTATTCATTATGACATTTATTTGTTTTTTATATTCATAACGTAACAATAAAATACACAAACAACAAATTTAACGAAAGTGTAGCCTTAAGAATAAAAACATAAATAAAACAGAGAATTTAATGAGCTTTGACATAAAAATAACAGCATATTATATTTTCTACCATTTCTTATAACTGACACTTTTAAATTGCTTTTAAATTTAATATACAATTCATCATATAAACTGTCAAATTTTAATGTAACATTCTTTACCACAAAAGGGCCTACATCGCATGTTCGAACACCTGGGTTTTGCCATCTGATCCGATAATAAAATTGGGATTCTTTCCTGCAGTCTCCGGTGGTATCATAAACTGGTTTGTTTTGGCATTTGTGGCTTTCTTGACAACCATCGGGTGCCATATACGCTCCTAAACAATTGCAATAATTAGGCAATTTTAAACATTAGATGTAAAGTTAGATATGCATATATTTTTGCCTTTCCCTTTACATTTGTGATTGTAGAATGCATTTACATTAAAAATGTCCCTTTTTAATTGAAATTTTATTTCTAAGAAATAAACAAGATTATCACTACTGGTCGGAGAGATAAACTCCGGGACGCATAGATAACCCGGACACTTGATAAATATAATTTTTATAACTTTATTTTTCAACAAAAAAGCATTATGGTCACCTAGTAGTATTAGGCAGCAGGACAGAATGTGTTATGATTTTTTGTCATTGGTAAACTTTTTAATTTTTTTTCAATTAACCGAAACATTTAGTTGCCAAAAACTGTCTTTTAAAACGTTCTTTTTTACTAAATTTACAATGAGGGTAGTTAGGGAATGTATTGACCACAGCGTCACTGACTTGGATAATATTTTTTTGAAAACTTGTTTTACATCAACAAAAAATAGATAAAACATATCAGATGTAAAAATAAATGAATGATGCTGATTTTCCTGTCATTTTTTACTTAAAAATTTAAGGGTGTCGACTTTTATCTACCTGTTAGGGTAAAAAGACCATGTTTTGTTATACCCCATTTCAGGACCTTAAAGAAACTTAACCAATTTCTCATTTTCATACATAATTTTTGTAGTGTAACGTAAAGTCTTTGAACTGAACTTTTATTTAGGTGGTTCATATTTTAAAATATTGTAGGAATAATAAAAGATATTACAAAAAGTATGTGATTTAGTGTCGGAGTTATCTTCTCCTACCAGTAATGTAATATCGTTTTGTTATTAAACTATATTAAAAGCAATTCAGAGCCAAGGTTACGCAGCAAAAAGTCCAAGGGACTTACAAATTACTTTGATGATAATAAAAAAATCGCGCTGTATAGTACCATATCTTTTATTTTCAAAGATTTTAAAATCATACACCTTGGGACAAAAACAAATGAGGCAAAAACGAAACCACTGATGAAATCCACAGAGGCTACCTATAAATAAATTTTGATATTCGTCCTACGTTGTATGAAATACGCTTATGTGTTACTTTTAAGCAGAAAAAGCTTTATTTTTTTTATTATCAACAACGCACTCCATTATATGTACACAGCAGGAAAACAAACAAATACGGCTCTCCGAGACATTCTGTCATGTAGTCGTGACATTGGTAAATACATAAAGCTTAACCATTTCCATATTATGCTTCGATGTTAACATCATATTATCTTTAAACGACAGTTTTTTTTTTCTTCAAATTTTGCTTCAACGTTTCTTGAACAGAAATGAAATGAATTCAATATCTATTTCTGAACCTTTATATATTTGAATCTACTGAAAAATGAATCCTGTTGTTATCGGGTGCTATGGACGCGAGAAATTTAAACGCGCGTTTGTTATTCATGGTTCCTTGTGCACCATTTTAATTATAATCAACGTGCTT